TGGCCAGTGTTTCGAGGACTATGTTGAACAGAAGTGGTGAGAGAGGGCATCCCTGTCTTGTACCAGATCTTAGAGGGAATGCCTTCAATTTTTCTCCATTCAGAATGATGCTGGCCTGTGGCTTATCATAGATTGCTTTTACAATCGGTGGTCACAGTCCCGCCTACCTTGCAGACACTGGGGGAGGGGACGGGCCTGCCCCTCAGCAGGCCGCCGGCCCTGTCCTACTGGTGGGACCTGTCCGCGTTCCCTGTAGGCGCGTGTATCTGTTCTGTCACTCGGCAGGTTGCTGGACCTGACCCGCCCGTGGGTTGCAGGTTCGCCTAGCTTGCAGGCACTCGAAGATAGAATTCTTGAAGCCTTGTGGGAGTCTGGTCCACATTAGTAGTCCATTGATTCCTTTTTCCTTGTCTGACCACTGGAAGGCGAATAGTTGTTGACCTTTGGGAGCCAGGGGCAGACTAAAGAAGACATCGTTTAGATCTAGTACTGTATACCATTGCCTTTCAGGTGGCAGGGAGCTTAGAAGGGTATACAGGTTAGGGACAGTGGGGTGAATGTTCATCACCCTTTTGTTCACCTCCCTAAGGTCTTGGATGGGCCGGTAGTGGTTGGACTGAGGCTTTTCAACAGGCAGAAGCAGAGTGTTCCAGGCTGACTGGCAGGACCACAGGACCCCCCGAATCTAACAGTCGCTGAATATGGGGGGTTATTCCTGCTCGAGTTTCCACCAACAGAGTATTGACGAACCCTAGCTGGGTCCGCTCCAGGCTCAAGTTCCACAAACACTGCTGGCTGGTGTTTGGCCAGACCCATACCTCCTGTGTCTGCCCATGCTTCAGGGTACACCTTTAGCCAATAATCTATATCCTGATTGCCGGGGATGGGTTGTTGGTACAGTCTATATTCATCCTCTAAGGTCACAGTCAGTACCTGAATAGGTTGCCCCTGACCATCAGAGATTGTAGTGCCTCTGGGTTGAAAGTGAATTTGAGCTCTAATTTTTGTAAGTTTCCTCCCATCAGTGGGTAGGAGCAGTCAGGGATAACTAAGAACGAGTGGGATACCTGGCCCACACCTAGGTCCACTGTTCTTTAGGTAGTCCATGAACATTTGTTAATCCCTGTAGCCCCCTGTACCCAAGAAGTCCTTTTAGATAATTTTCCTTGTGGCTCCATCAATACAGAGTGTTGAGCTTCAGTGTCCACTAGAAACTCGATTGGAGTCCCCTCCACCTTAAGACTTACCCTGGGTTCGGGGAGGGGAGCTGAACCCTGACACCCCTAATCTTCCTGTGTTAGTCACCAGTGCTGTGGTGCATCTAGGGGGTCGGGGCAGCCCCATTTCCTTTTTCTTAGGGCAMTCCCTTGCCCAGTGACCTGTCTGCTTGCAGCAAGCACATTGGATTCTATGCAGTTGCATGCCAATAGGTCGGCATTGCTCCTGCTCTTGGTCTCTGCCCCAGTTCCCCAAACTTTGTCTCCTTTTCCTTCCTTGTACTGCTGCTACCAACACCCTTGTAATTTCCCTGGTGGCTTTTATTTGCCTGTCCTCAGGAGCATCCCTATTTCTATAGACTCTCTATGCTGTTGCCAACAGATCCTGAACACTCTTACCCTCTAAATTCTCTAGCTTTTATAGTTTCCTTTTAATATCTGGAGCTGCCTGATTAACAAAAGCCATTACTACTGCTGCCTGATTCTCCGGAGCCTCCGGATTCATTGGGGGTAAATTGTCTAAAGGCTTCCATTAACCTTTCTAGGTAGCTAGCAGGCTGTTTCCCTTGTATTATTGTATAAACTTTAGCCAAATTAGTCGGTTTTCAGGCCACAGCCAGGAGACCCGCCATTAGAGTCTGGCAATAGACCTTGAGTCTCCCCCTACCTTCTGCCGTGTTGTGGTCCCACTCGGTTGCCGGTGGCCTACTCAAGGGAAAAGCAGAATTAATCAGGTCAGGGTTGGTGGTAGGTTGCCCATCATCTCTATGGACCAGTTTCCTGGCCCCCATCTGGATTCTTTCCCTTTTTTCCATGGTGAAGAGGATGTGGAGCAGTTGTTGCCAATTGTCCCAGGTAGGCTGGTGAGAAAACATAACACTATCCAGGAGAGAAATTAAACTCTTTGGGTTGTCAGAGTAAGGGGGGTTTTGTATAAATCACTAGTGGAGAAGGGCCAGTACTGAATTCTAGGGTTCCTGGTCTGGTCAGGGGCCCTATCTCCCTGAGGGGCAAGACCATGGTGGTATCAGGAGATTGAGCAGGGGACAGGGCTTGTTGGGCTCGCCCTCTGGTTCCCCCTGCTGGTCCTTCCAGTGCCCATCTGCTCTTCTTGCTCCTCCCCCTGCACCCTCCTCATCCCGCTGGTTAGTGGGGTGCACATAGGGAAGGGGTGTGGATTCCAAGGATTCCGAAAGAAGCGGGTCATCACCCCCTTGGAGGACTGGATATAGGGGTCTGACGGTCGGGTAGGTCCCGGGGTTTGTGGCCCAGAATCGACCTCTTTTGCCACAAAAATGTTGGTTTCATGTGCCACATGTAAAAAGGGAGTTAGCCAATTAGGGGGGTCCTTGAGTAAGTCCATCCACACTAAGATATAAGGAATCTGATCTGTATGCCCCTCTCTTTTTGGACGAAAAATCACATTCTTTACTTGGAGGACTGCACTTTTGTCAAAGGTCCCCTCCGGTGGCCACCCTACACCAAAGGTGGGCCACTCAGCAGAACAGAGAGTAACTAGCTTTCTTTTCTTTATCTCTATTCCCAAATTGCGTCCTCTTTCCCTAACGTCTGTAAAATGGTCAGTCAGTACAGTCAAAGGAGTAGTCTGAGTTTGTCCCATGTCTAGGTGAAAAAAGAAAACAGCTACAATTATTCACAAAATCAAGATTGTAACACAGACAGACAGTAAATGCCTCCCATTAATTGTGAGCACCCCGAGACCATTTCAAAGAGGATTTCAGAAGGCAGAGTAGATCTTCCGCTGCCGGTCTCCCCTGGTGGCTTACGACCTGCAAGAATTCTGAGGGGATTAGTTCCCTTGCCAGGGTGTTGGGGTGGAGGCGGACAGGACAATACAAACACAGATAACACAAAATTCAGAACGCGGCCACAGAATTCCCAGTGCGGTGTGGATTGCTACCCAGAAACCCAAAGCAGAGGCGGTCAGAGGATCTGTCAGCTACAAAATACTTTACTAAAGGCAATCCACTCAGAACCCAGAAGGGGCTGGGGACATCTCCCACAAACCCCTCGGCTGCCCTTCGGTGCGTCCACCTGGACCTTTTGCCAACCACACCATGCAGAACCAGAACCTGCAGGCAACCAGAGTATAGAAACTTACAGATCGACAATGCCTTTACTTACTGGCTGGGTTTTCATCACCTCTCGATCGGGTGTCTTGGTAGGCTTATAAGGGGGATTCTGGACGAGCCCCCATATGTTATGCTCGAATTCGGGACCCCCCAAAGACCAGAGACCCAAATCCATGTAAGCAGCAAAGAGGTGTTTATTGCCAGCTAGCTCAGTCCTCCGCACGCACACAGCAACTGGTGATGCTGATAGGACCCGAGCCCAGGGTTTGCAGTTTTATACATTCTTTGGGGGAAGGCAGAGACCCCACATACATCATAGCATATCTTAGCAAATCATCACCACCATGGGAAAAATCAAACAAATCTAAAACATGATTAGCATATCAAGTGGCAGGAAAGAATCTGGAAAGTATTATTGGTTAGTTCAAGGGGTTGACACACTTGAAAATGATTGATTTAGATCGTGAGGGTGTCACAAGGTGGGTATGTGCCAAGCTGCAGGGCTTCTAGTTTAGATATTGGCCACCACACCTAGGTAGGGG